TGCTCTTGGCTAAATGCGAATTCGCCGGTGCACTGGCGTAGAACTGGATGAAATGAGCGAATATTTCGAGTCACGTGGCCGAGATAATTATCGAAATGGAGACTTTCGAGAGTAAGAGGTTCAATGTTTCGTAAGCACTTCAGATTGCCTCATCCATCAGACTGATGATCAAATTGCGCATTTTTTTAATGCATCTATAAGAAACACAAACGTGTAAAAGTACGTGGGATATTTCTAATTATAACATAGTATAACAGTGCTATAATGTCGTATTTATATTTGTATGAATTTAATTAGTATAAAGCTTTGTTTAGATTCTATTCCTTCAATTCTGTCCATGTAACTAAAAACTGGCGATCAGATTGCGAATTTTCCTATACACTTGTAAGAAACTTGAAGGCAGGAAAATGTATGGGATATTCAAATCGTGATATTGTAATTGATAAAATATTTAATTGGTATAAATTTTTCTTAGATCCCATAAAAATATAATTTAAAGAAACATTCTGTCGGTGACAGTTCGATTACACTGCTAATTTGAAATATTTATTCGGCGATCTCTAATCAAAAAACACGACAATTTTTATAACAATTAAAACACAGTTTGTGCAAAATTGACTTTCCCTTACTAACGAAACGTCCGAATACATTTGTACGACTATCGTTCAAATTAGAAGCAACGATTAGAAGCGCTTGGACAGACAGAAGGAAAAGATTCCCGTAAAAAGAGAAGCTGAGTCATCTGTTGGTGATGACCACCGTGCATTCATCTCACGAGGAAGTCTAATAGAGCCGTTAGGCGAGCAGCGTTTAGGATTCTAAACGATCTACCGCGTACGTTCTCTTTCTGCCATAGAAGTCGACTGAAACAACTCACTTAGTTAAATCATACCCGCGGTAATTTGTCGTTTTGATTATCCATCGCCACTGTGATTTTCACCATGTTCGAGTCATTGTTCTCGCGTACTCTCCCATTGTTTCGCCTCTATTATCCAGCGCGTTAGATTCAATTACAGTAAAAGCCCACGTCAGGTATATCTCTGTATCGTGTCGATATGATCGATCGATCTAGAGATAGTGGCGGCAGGAGGGGAGCTTGGTAAACATTCTTACGTCTTCCGCGCGCGGTGAGCGTTTCCTTTCACCCTGGAAGAGCACAGGCCGGTCTGTGGCTACGCCAGTGCAACGGGTTATGGAAGCAACGGTTGCGGCCGGCCGAGATTTGAAAAAAAAAAAAAAAAAAAAAAAAAAAAAAAA